GAAACATACATTACTTAATTCATAGGATTTTTTAAATTGCTTACTTAATCAAAACTGTATAGTGATGAAGAAATTAATTCAGGCTGAGTGAAGCATATTAAAAGCAAGTATTACCTTTCAGAAGAACAAGGATCAGAAACAGCTTCATTGTTTTAAAATGCATCAGTTGTGGACCTCGTGGACCTCACCATATCTTATCCTCTGTGTCAGGATGTGGTTTAGCTTTGGCTTGTAACTCCTTTTAGCTTTGTGTCATTTTTACTTCTCTTTTACTTCTGGTTTTGAAATTGGTGCAGCCAGAGTGGCAGGTCCCAGAGTTGCAGATGTTCTTAGTAAATAACCCATAAAAAACACTGAGAGAAGGGGAAGATGAATTTTACTTGGACTTTCAACAGAGAAAGCTAAAATTTTTTGGGCAAAAATCCATCCATCACTATAACCACTGAATCCCAACTGGGGTCACAAGGGGGACCAGAGCCTATCCCAGGAACAAGGGGCACAGGCAGGAACCAACCCTGGGCAGACGGCAACACCCCACAGGGCACTCAGACTCACACTCAAATGCAGGGCTAACTTAGAATTCCCTTCAACCTGCCCTGCACACCTTTGGACTGTGGGAGGAAACCAGAGCCCCCAGTGGAAACCCACACAAACACGGGGAGAGCATGCAAACTCCACACAGAAAGGTCCAACGCCCGACCCGGGGATCCAACCCAGGCCCTTCTTGCTGCCAGGCAGCAGCGCTAAGCACTGCACCACCATGCCACCCTTGGGCCAAAATATCAATGTAAATTCACAAGAAATTCACAAAAAGAATAAGAACTGTGACGACTGGTCAACCGAGGCATCGCAGTAACAACAGAGAATGACAAGGAGGCTTCTTTACAGGAGAACGGCGTCCTTTTATTGCAATCCTTAGCAGGACTATAAGAGGGACCCAACTAGCACCGAACCCAAATACAACAGCGGAAACACAAGGTTGAAGAACAAGGGACAGACACTGAGGGAGATTTGTACAAGCTAAAGACACTCGAAGATCGGATAGGGTTCACATAAGACAGAAACACACGCCACAGTCAGGAACAGTCTTAACCATAACTACCACAAAAATCAACAATACAAGTAGTATTTACACTGACATACACGGGGTTAAATACACACGCCTGCGAGGCATGCCGGGACGTGCAGATCTCACCAGCACCACAGTGCACTTTTAAGGTTTCTTAATCTTAACCAGCTAAATTTATGCCACAAAGCTAAGCTTGACATATTACAGATAATTTGGCCTGAAAAACAGGAAAAAAACATCTAAAGAGAATAAAATTCCCACAATCAGCTCCCAATGTGTGTAGTTTCTGTGTTCTCCGAGTGGGGATTATCTTGAATGGTAGCGCAATAGCAGTATGGATGCCTACATCACCTAGAATTGTGTCTTACACTTTTTTGTTTTTTATTGCACTTCTGTTTGTCCTCTTGCCCCGCCCCCACCCCCCACCGGCATGCACTGGTCCCCTCCCCTACAACAGTGGCATAAGAATTTCTTCATCCAAACACGTGACTATAAGAGTTGAAACTGACAGTCAAAAAAAATGCAGTTAGGTGGTTTGCGTCTGTAAACGTTCCTGGTCCGTGTGTCTCTGTGTGTCCCCGGCGTCGGACTGCCGGCCCATGCTAGGCTTCCTCTGGTTTGTGGCCTGTGCCTCCAAGAATAGAACAGGAAGAATAGGCTCACCACGACTTGGTACTGAATAGGAGGTGTGGGAAATTCATAGTACTTCCGTGTAACAGTTTAATAATTGAATCGCTTTGGATTTTGTGATACATTCATAACAATTATTGAAAAATGCTGATGGAGGAAATGTGACTTCAAAGGCCTCTGCAGGCAAGATTACCACAAGCTTTCACTGAGAAGTGGATTTAAAGCATTTGATGAATGACAGCACATAGGGACCATTCCACCATTTCAAAAGCCTTGTTTTTCCAATCACCAGTGAGAAACTGGTGTCACGTCTGTAGTGGCGAGGAGTAAAGACCCCAGAGGCAGCGACTGTACAGGAAGTAGCCCTGAAGGGGACTTTGTTAGGGAAGCTACAGAGGGGAGTAGGTCTGTACATGGACCTACAGAGGGGAGAAGGTCTGTACATGGACCTACAGAGGGGAGAAGGTCTGTACATGGACC